AATGTGGTATGATATTTTTAATTAACAGATGTTTATTTCACAGTTAGTGAGAATAAGTATAAGGCTGATTTTCTTAAAGGTTTATTTACAGAATGTACAAAGATGCTTCTTAATTGTTACAGCGGTAACCATCGACTGCTGCTACCTGCTACATCCGCACCCTTGCAGATGCCCCTTTTTCCCCCCTGGTGTCTGTTTCTTCGTCGTTTTCCTTAAAAATTACTAACATGCCAACGTCCTCTCTTCACAAACAACCCAAAAACCATACCGTCCCTTTTTCTACCAACAACTTAGACAAACACTTACAACTAAAATAAGAATAATAATACTACTAACTACGCTTTCTTAATTCTATTTTACCATTAACTTATACTACATTCGGCCATCCTGCGCAAACATCTCCCCTCAGATGTATTCGGTCTCGTCGGCCTTGTCAAATTCGGTTTCATCTCCTGCAGCCTAAGGCTTCATATAGTCCACGGATGTTGATGTTCGATTTGGGCCTTCATGTTCGCCAACTTTCTCTACAACGTACCGGTCGTTTCTCAATACCCTGCTTATTTTGTATGGTCCTAAATATTTCGCCTTTAGCTTTGAACCACTTCCTAGTTGGGTTCTTTTGATGGCCACCCACTCGCCCTCGCTGTATCGATTTGGCATCTTTCGTTTTTTGTCATAGCCACGCTTGTTAGAGTCCTGAATTTTCGCTATGGTATTTTTCGCTTCCACTCTTAATTCATCCCTGTCCTCCTCGAATATGGTTGTCCATTCTTGTTCTATCAGTTCCTTAATGTTGTTGTCATCCTTAAGCCGGGCGTTAACCCCGAATAACAGGTGAAAAGGTGCTTTACCTGTACCTCGGTTTGGGGTAGCATTTAAATATCTCTGTGCCGCCTCAATGTATTTGTACCAATTCTCGGAGATCGGAGAGGTTAATTTGGTAAGAAGAGGAAGTAGAGTCCGATTTACTCTCTCTACCTGCCCGTTACCCCTTGGAACACCCGTCACAATCATTGTGTGTTCGATCTTTTCTGTCTTACAATAGTCCTTAAAAGCCTGTGAAGTGAATGCAGTTCCCCGATCTGACACTATTCGTCGAGGGTTTCCAAAAACGAAGGATTGCTTCGTTAAACGGTCAATAACTTCAGCGGCATCAGTAGACTTTGTTGGGTACAACCAAACAAACTTAGTAAAAGCGTCGACCACCACTAGCACATGTTGGTATCTTTTCTTCGTCGCCGTCATAGGTCCTACGTGATCTATGTGATATGTGTCCAATGGCAAAGATCCTTTATCGATGGAGTGTAGAAAACCTTCTTGCTTTCCTTGTTTTCGTTCCGCTAGAATACAACTTAAGCAGCTATTTACTACCTGCACTGCTTTCTGCCGCAAACCCTTGAACCAAAAGTCCTTTTTTACAATTTCCTCTGTCTTATTTATGCCGAAATGTCCTCGTTCGTGGGCCTGCCGGACTACCTGGGATTGCATACTTTTCGGAACGACTACCAATACATCGTCACCTACATCTTTAAACAATAATCCGTTTCTCACTAAGTATCCGTCGGCTTGATTACGGTTGGCCTCGTCTATTATTATTTTCAATTCTGCATCATGTTCTTGTTGATTTCTGAGACGTGTAATCAAATCGACTTCGCTTTCACATATAAGAAACGTACTAGGCAAAGGGTTGCGACTTAGGGCGTCAACATGCCGCATGCTTTTCCCTGGCCTATGACACAATTCGTAATTAAATTCTTGTAATATTTCAGCCCAACGGGCTGCACGCACACAAAGCTCTTTTTTCTTTATAGTCATAACAAACGCTTGACAATCCGTAATAATCTTAAATCTAATTCCTAATAAATACACTCTAAACCTAGTTAATGCTTTAACAATAGCTAATACTTCCAACTCATAACTAGCATACCTCCTCTCAGTCTCGGTAGTCTTTCCGCTAGCAAAGTAAACCGGATGGAACATATTATCATTCTCGTCTAATTGCATTAGAATTGCTCCGTAACCATACCGAGATGCATCGGTATGTAACTCAGTTTCTGCACCTACCCTATATATTTTCAATATAGGCTTACTAACTAGTGCGGTTTTAAGTGATGCGAAAGCCTCGACTTCGCGAGCTCCAAAGTAAAATTTCGCGTCCTTCTTCAATAAATCAGTTAGTGACCTGACTATTGAGGCATATCCTCTCACGAATTTTCTGAAATATCCCGTTAGCCCGAGAAAACTCTGGACATGCTTGACGCTGGTGGGACGCGGAAAATTGCTTACCGCCAAAGTTTTTNATTCTTCAGGCTCCGCCCACTATGAGGACAATCCAGAGGCTCTTAAGAACCTCTTCAGCTGAAGAACGATCTCCAATATGTCTTAGAGGTCATTCTTCATGCTCCGCCCACCATGACGACAATCCAGAGGCTCTTAAGAACTTCTTCAGCTGAAGAATGACCTTCAAGGTGTCTTAGAGGTCATTCTTCAGGCTCCGCCCACTATGAGGACAATCCAGAGGCTCTTAAGAACTTCTTCAGCTGAAGAATGACCTTCAAGGTGTCTTAGAGGTCATTCTTCTGCTGAAGAATGACCTCCAAGGTGGCTTTGGAGGTCATGGTAAGGGACTGAGGATGGACAGGCCATCGAAGTGTCACAGTATCCCTATAGCTATACTACTCATATTCCCGTGGAGACGTTTCTTTTTTTAACCAAAACAATCGTTTTGGTTTAATTACACCTTCGTCAAGCCACACGCTTGTTAATTCGTCTACTTCTTGTTTTTCTTCTGCTGACAGTCTTCGCGGCCTTGATCCCACCGGTACCTCGCTACTCAATATAATTTTTGTTTTAATTCCGACGTCGCGCGTTTTTTCCGGCTTATAATCGGTTATCATTTTCTTTACTTCATCACGGTAACATTTATCATTAATATAGGATAGTTCGATTTCATTAGCTTCAGAGATAGTATTTATGGCAAAAATTTCTGGATAACTTTCCGATTTTGCATCGTCGAGCTTTAAAAAGGATACAATTCCCTGTCGCACACGCAATTCAACTTTATCTAAAAAATCGGTTCCTAACAACAATCCGTGCTTAAGTATTTCCGTCGGTACTACATGAAACGTTACTAAAAATTCATCACCGTCAACATTCATACTTTTTGTAAACTCACCCAGTGTTACGTTGCCAGTGGATCCGAGACCTTCAAACTTAAGTTTACGCTTTCCCAAAACAGGAGATCCTATTTTTTCATATTCATCAGATCGCATGAAAGTTAAATCGCTACCTGTATCCACTAAAGCTACAAACTTACGGTCCTCTACTACAACTTCTTTCACGTACTTTTGCTTGTTTAGCCTTGATACAACAAAAGCTTCCTTATTCTTGCCCGCGCACTTTGCGGCAACGTGCCCGAACCCGTTGCATTTAAAGCACTTTACACCCTTTTCTTTCGTTGGACACTCGGCACTTAAATGGTCTTTTTCACCACAGTTATAACATCTTTTCACCTTGACCGCTGAACTTCCCTCGGTGTATCTTTTCCCTACGTCCCTGGCGTTGTGGCGTCTACCACCGTCGTCCTTCTTGTCCGGTGCTTTACTTCTACTCTTCATGTCCCGCTTTAATGCCTCGTATTGCGTCAGCTTCTCCTTTAATTGTCGTATGTTCTTCGCGCCATACAGTAAGGTTTTATTTGCGGCCTCATCCGGTATTCCCTGAATTATATATTGTATTACAGACTGCGTATCCACCATCGCTTGACTCGCGATTTCCAACATTCTGTACACATATTGTTGGTGAGTTTCATCTGTTCTCTTTTTCCGCTGGGACAATTCCTGATGTATGTGGTAACTATCTACGACTTCATCGAATTCTCCCTTTAACGCTTTCTTCAACTTTTCCCAATTCTTTGCACACTTTTCATGGTTTACGAATAATTTTGCTGACCCCTTTAACAATCTCTTTGCGTATGTTACCTTCTGAACGTCGGACCACGCGCATAGGTCTGCCGTTTCTTCAAAGTCTTGAATCCATTGATTGACATTTATGTAATCATCTCCGCTAAATTTTTCAAGAGATTCCTCCACATCCCTGAATGTTAGTTGTGGTTGCGGTACAGGCTCACGTCTTCGGCGTCGCGTGCCAGATGCTGGTGCTCTGGACGCTGGAACGGTTTCGTCTTCATCGTCTTCATTGTCTTCGTTTTCTTGATCGTCTTCGTTTTCATTATCGTCTTCGTCTTCGACTTCTTCGTCGTCTTCTGAGTCATCCCGATCGCGTTCAATAATTAACGCAGCTTTTAGTCGAGCAACCAAACCCTTTTTTAGTCCCGTTGTTTTGAGCTGTCGTCTTCGAAGCTCCGTCTTAAGTTGGGAAACTTTCATTTTGTCTACCTCTTCGTCGGTCAAGATTGATTGTTCTATTTGAATCTCCTTTTCACCGTTGTTTGATACTTCGTCGTCTGCCATCTTTTCTTTTGTAAAACTCTTCACCGTTTTTAATACTTCCG